GTGGGTTTTCAGGTTCTAGCTTGGTGAACATCAGCCAGAGCCTCCAGCCCCATGTTTGTCTCAGCAAATGCTTTGAGACTTCACTGAGGGATAAGGTCTGTGGGAGAGGGTTTGGGGCCGTGCTGCCTTCAGAGGAAGGCATTGCTAACAGGAAAACAGTTTTTTGTTGTTGTTTAACCTTGAACAACTGAGGAAGAGTGGGTTATTATTTGATATGTAACAGTAGCTTGAATCTGTTGAGAACAGTGGGTTGGCGCAGCTGGAAAATGAAATTATAATGTTTGTAAAATAGTAGACAACGTTACCTTTACTTCAGGCCTTGCTTGGGTTTTTATTTGTTCTGTACAGCTCAGATGTCATTACTGTGCTTAAGGGGGTCAGTCACAGAACACACATGCAGCAATAACACACGAATCTCATGGAGAATAAGTGAGAGTGTTTTAAATGATGGCTTATCTGTTTTTCAAAGTGGCTGTGGGAATATGAAATCCATGGTGCTGCTCCGGAAGCTACCAAGACGGCTGGAGGAATTCTCTCTCTCGCTCTTACAAGACTTCATAGAACTCAGAGAGTGATCTTTCCAAGCAAAGATTTTTTTTTTTTTTTTTTTTTTATTTTAGCTTGAGACGTTGAAGATGCGCTTTTTGCCAAGCAGCATCTCGAGAGTTCGGTTTGCATGTGATCTCTCCCTTCCGAGGCGAGAGGCAGCGGCTGCGGGGCTGCGCGGCGAGTCCCGCTCGCTCAATCCGCAGCAAATGCTGCCCCTGGTGTTTCCGAGCAGGAAATACCCCACAGCCATCCCTCGGCTTCCCAAGTTTTGCTCAGGAGACCCTGGCGAATGTCACCAACCCCTGGATACTGCCATCAGTCTTGGACTGGTCGGCTGTCAATTTTCTTAAAAGCAAACGGTTCTTAACACGTTACACGTTGTAACATCCAATGTGATTAGTGGCATTCTCATAAGCACGCTCAGGATAAAACAACCTAAGAGGTCTTTGAACAATTAATTACTTTATTCCTTCTGTTGACACTAATTTGTGACCTTTTTACTTGACATTGTAATGAACACATGAACTGTCATGCTTGAGCATTTTTTTCTGTTTGAATTCCCTACTGCTGTTGAAGCTCTGAGTTTCCCAAAGCAGCAGCCCCCTCCAGATGAGAAAAGCACTTATTTGTGCTGGGTTCACAGCCAGGAATTCTCACCATAGACATCCCATCGTGCTAATAACTTTCCAAAATGGAACAAAAAGATTTTGCTGAACCTGTGTCACCTAAAATCTTGAGTGCATGCTTCAGTCTCAGCACATGCCTTGTTCCTCTTCCTATGTGCTTCGAAATCACATATCAAATTGCTTCAAAGTTACATTAACTCCACTGGAATGGCATATACTTAATATCAATCCTACTAAGGACTTTCTGAACTCGGAGCTTTCAATTTTCAGCCGTTTCCATTATTTACTTTTCAGTGAGAGTTCTTTGCCCTTTGCCATTTTGATTTCCTGGGGTATTCCCTGCTAGGTTCATGTACGATGCTGCTCACCTGGCAAATTGTTTAACTTTGAATCAGAGTCTGACTGTGCCTGAGTCAGTTTTCTCATCTTTAAATTTTGGGCACAAGCTGCTTGCAATTGCTGCTTTATTTAAACTGTGAAGTAAGAAATCTATGTTTGTGTTGGGATTTTGTTTGTTGTTTTTTGGGTTTTTTTAACTAATAATAATTAATCCACAGAAACTGTGTTTATGTCTTATTTAATAAACAATAGAGGAAGAAACCCCAAACAATCCCATGCCACCACTTACTACCTAGACAATTACCAAAATTCACATCAACTATTCAGGGAAGTGGAACCACTGATGGGGTTATTATCAGGTTCTTTTAATATAATTTCACATATTTCTCATATTACTCTTTGGTTGGTAGATCATACTTTTTTACATTCTTTTGTCTAATCTCTGAATTCAGATTAGAAATTGGTATTTTTCTTCTCAAAGCAGAATCAGAAAGGCAACTTTTTGAAGACTACTTTGTGTGTGCTGGATATTTCTCTTGGAATGGTATTGTATTTACAAGTGTTTGTGTAGCACACATGCACACTAGCACACACTGTTTATCCAGACAGACTTAAAAATGGATAAAACTAGAAGCCTTTATTTATCCAAATAAATGTAAACTAGGGGAGTTAAGCATGGGAATCGCCTGTAATTGCCTGCTGAAGTGCTAAAAATAGCTGCTTTTTGGAAACAGGAGAACCCTTCACTGTTAAAAAAGTGGCAGTAACACCTATCTACTATTAGCAAACAACTTTCTTTCCAAAAACTGAAGGACACAGAGGGAGAAAAATCGTTTCTTTTCATACTTCACTGCAAGAACTGGACAGAATATAGACGAAAAAGAACCTCCTGTCCCTGAAGTACATCATGTTAGTCAGCCTGATCCTGTGCATAAATACCTTGTGTGAACTTCATCATTATCACCGTCTCTAGTTACAGAACTTAAACTGGAGCAGATTATCAAAACATTACAGGAACTAAAGTAATTTCCAAGTATGATCATTAATCACCCGTGCAAAGTCTAATAGCATACTGAGCTCTCTTCATTGTTCCATTAAGACAGGTACTTTATCTTAATTAGAGCTACTTCTTCAAAAATTAACACTAAAAACAATTTAAAATGTCCTACTGGAACAAACATTTTATTCTCTCACCTCCTAACTCCATTCAGCTTCTTTGAGGTGGAAAAAAAAGCATGAAAGACTGGTCAGATTTCTAACTGCTCCCATCATTAGGTATTTGCACAATCTTTTTTCTGCTAGAAATATTCTTACTGATTGATTCTATATATAGAAAGTCTCAGGGGTAAGAGTCTTTGTGCTTCATGCTGTACTAGCATTTGCAGACAGACCTGGAAAATTTGATCTAAATTTTTACTTATTTACCAAAGAATTTTTTAACTTCCTGTGGTGAAGACAAATGTAAAAGTGATGTAATGACACTTCATATTTGCTGTCTTTTAGAAACACTTCAGATAGAACAACAGCCACAAAAGTATTATCACTTCCTCCCATCTCAGTGAGGCGAATATCAGAGTTTAAGAGACACAACACACACAAAAACATCAGCTCCTGCCAAATCAAGTATCTGTTTCTTACTGAAACAGAAATGAGTGCTTTCAATGTACAACATTTTTTTAGTCCCACTGGTGATACTATAGCCAAGACTAGTAAACCTATGGAAGCACTTTCTACCCAGAAGTTCCATCAGAATACTTCTGTATACCTGCTAGCAACAGAAAAAAACAATGATCTGGAAAAAATGCTGTAGATAGCACATGCTTTTTAGGTGAATAAAGAGGAGGTGAGGAACAAGTCTGGGCTATAAAAAAAACAAGCAGAATGGACCAATTCCATTTCCAATCAAACTGAATGTGTTCTTAAAATATTACCTGTAATCAGCAAGCCAGAGTTTCACAAATTTATTCTTTATTTTCATAGTGAATTGTTTTAATGTAGCAAAATGAGAGATCAACCATTCATTCTGACAACAAAATTTTAAAGCAAATTCATAGCCTTGAGAGTTTTCAGAAAATTCATACAGTAGCAAAAATTAGGACCGGTCAGGAAGGCTCTAAGAGGACATATTCCATTACATGGTACAGAACTCATTTCATAATGGTTTTCCTTTGTAAGAATTAAGGTACACCAAATGTAATGTTATGTTCTAGAGAAGTGAACCAAACTTTACAGAGATTTTGTTAACAGAAATAAGTGAGGTTTCAATAACTAAAACGGATATATTCAAGATGGATTCCCAAGTACTTTTAAATTGATAGGTGTGTTCCCACCAATATTCCCAGAAGAACAGAGATGAGGGAGGAGAAGGAATACAGAAGGAAACCTTCAGCTTTGGTAACCAGGGAGATGGATATAAGACATACCAAACCTCAGAATTTTATGTGTCTAACTTACTAACTTACTTATATAAGGTATGGAAAGAATATCTTCAACATAAGTTTACTTGATGGCAAGTCTCAATCTGTTTACTGGGAATTTTCATCTTGGTTTTGTATATCTTGTATCTGTATGTGGTACAAAGGAGTACTGATGCTACCAACTTAGCCTAATAGCATTTAAAATATTGCTGAATTTCAAGTCTTTAAAAAAGTAAAAGCAGTTAATATCTCACAACGAATGCTAGAAAAAGAGTAGTGAATTATAAATCTAAGGTAGAATCTCTATGTAAAAAGGCAGCAGATGTTCATTGTTAAGCAATACATCTGGCAGCAGTTGCCTACCCAATCTGGGTATCTGTTCCCAGTAAAGTGGCAAAATAAATGTGGTGACTTCTTATGTACAAATCTATGAGAAATCAGGTTCCATTAGTTCTGCTGCTGAGAGAGTAACATGTTAAAATGATTCAGAGTATTAACAGTATCTTTCACTAAGTTGTTCAGCCACAAAAGACTAATAGAGTATGTGCATACAGCAAGATGTAGGTTTCAAAACACTGTGCTCTTAATTTTCTTAGGCTACATCTGATTCTTTTTATATGGAGCCCAAAATACAGAGACAGAAACACTAATTCAGTTGGGTTGGAAGGGACCTTTAAGGATTATAATGGCCAGGAATATCTTCCAACATACCAGGTTTCTCAAAGCCCCATCCTGACCTAACCTTAACAGCCTTCCAGGGGTGGGGCATCCACACCTTCTCTGGGCAACCTGTGCCAGTGCCTCACTGTGACGCTGTTCACAGGGCTTCTTAGATGAGAGACAAGGATCTGACTCCATGTTTCAGAAGGCCTGACTTATTATTTTATGATATATATTACATTAAAACTATACTAAAAGAATAGAAGAAAAGGATTTCATCAGAAGGCCAGCTAAGAATGGAATCAGAAAGAATGATAACAAAGCTTCTGTCTTGGACAGAGAGCCTGAGCCAGCTGTGTGGCCATTAATTACAAACAAACCAACATGAGCCAATCACAGATCCACCTGTTGCATTCCACAGCAGCAGATAATCATTGTTTACATTTTGTTCCTGAGAAGCTGCTCAGGAGGAAAAATCCTAAGGAAAGGATTTTTCATGAAAAGATGTCTGCAACACCTCACCAACTTCACAGTAAAAAATTTCTTCCCCTATGTCTATCTATACCTACCTTCTTTGAGTTCAAAACCTGTTGCCCTACCACTACAGGCCTTGGTAAAAAGTCTTTCTCCATCTTCCTTGTAGGCCCCCTTTAAATACTTAAAGGTTGCAATATGGTCCCCCAGAGCCTTCCCTTCTCCAGACTGAACAACCCCAACTCTACCAGCCAATCCACACCTAGCCCTCTCATCAATTTAGTGACCCTCCTCTGGACTTGCTCCAGCAAGCAGGACATCCTGTCTTTCCTGTGCCAGGACCCTAGAACTGGATGCAGCATTCCAGGTAGGGTTTCTTAAGAGCAGAGAGGCAGCATCACCTCTTTCAGCCTGCTGGCCATGCTGTTTGGGATGCAGCCCAGGACACAGTGGACTTTCTGGGCTGTGAGTACACATTTGCAGTTCTTGTCCAATTTTTCAGAATGGGCAGTACCATACTTAAACCCTTCCAAAATCCTTGAAAATCTACTCTGATTTGGGTTTCATGCAATTCTGGTAAGCCATGCATCCTGTTTCTGACTAACTCCTACTTTCTCTTAAGTTACACTGGAAGAATTCTTGCTTATCTTCCTTGGGCATATTAACCCATTCTCTTAGGACTGCAGTTACTCCAAGTGCTGCCATTATGTTTGCACAATGTAACCCGATGTTTAAAATCTCAGTAAATTGCCCCAGCTACTTATCAGAGACAGCCATGTGGGCCCATGTGCTCATTTAAATGGCTGAGCCAGACTCAGTCTGTATGACGCCCATACTGTGACTCATCACCTACTTTCTCAAGAGAGGAATGACTACTGTGCTGCAAATGCAGTCAGGACTGCAGAATATTTCCTCTGTTGCCTTGCAACTGTCTATACTGATTCGTCAGAGGAGAAATAGATCTTTGCATTTGGGTCCTGTTTGTTGTAACTATCATTCTAACTGACTGGACTGACTTGTACATAATGAGCAATAAGGAAGGTAAGATGCAAGTCCTAAATTCTGGTATAACAAAGCCTTACCTTTCCAAATATACCCACTTCAAAAGATATCAGCATCTCCTGTGTTCTCTACAATGCAGCTCAGTCTGAATAGGTGGAAATTTTATTCCACAAGTAAATAGACATTGAACTGATATTTCTAACAGTAGGAAACTTAAAGTGATTAATGCAGTAAGCCTGGAAGGACTGATTTGGTAAAACTTTGGATTTGTATTGACACAGATGAGAAAAAAAGATACAGCACATTATCAAACAGTAATTCAAAGGCATATGAATTTCCGTGTAACAGCCTACATAGAAATCTTGAAGTCCAGGCAGAGATAAAGTGCATGCAGATGAAGTAGGCCATTCACATTTTTAAAGATGTCTTTCAAAGAGCTATATGACCTCTTAATCAATTTTCTCTTCTTGGAAATTGTCTGCATCTTCCAGGTAATCTTCAAGATCATTGTATCTCTGTGAATGAAATAAAATTTGTACAATTTATCCATATTTAATAACTGAATTATGCAGACACTGCTTTTCTTGTTCAACACGTGACCGAGCATGCCAATAACAATTTAGAGGCTATATCTAAAAGCATACTAAATACAATTTGTACTACAAATTGTCTTAAAATAGTTCACGAAGTGGTTCTGAACAATTAAAAGTTCTTCAGTGTAAACAGAATTCTAAAATACTCTTGCTGTGCCTCATGTACATCTTTCCCATCTTACCAAGTTACAGCTCAAGTTTGTTATGTTGCTGCTTGTAAATGAAACGGGCCTGCCCACCACAGCCCAGAGATCACGCAGCTGTCAAAAAGCTTCATGTCAAAAGCTGATACAAACTCTGTCAGCACAGCAGCACACCACTGCTTGAAACACAGGGTCAGGAGAAATGGGGGAATGGTTGAACTGAGTTGTATTATTGATGAACAGTAACTCAGAACTGATCCATTAAATCAGACATTTTATCTGAACTTACTTTCATCTGCTTGGAAAAGAATACAGGGAATAACAGTCATACCTTCTGAATCCACTCAGTCTCTTCCAAGTGGCTGAAAAGCCGCTCCACAGTGTCTTTGACTGGTTCATCCTCAACACCATCCAATTCCACAATGGAGCTGCAATCCATGTATAACTTGTACTTGAAGTGTTTCAAGTTGTGATAAACTCTTGTACGATTTGCACACACTGTACCAACCTTCAAAACCTAGGCCAGAGCAAACAAAACATTCCCTTGGATAGAACCATATTTATCTTTACAGAATTGGTGGGCTAATCTAATAAGATTTAACCAGTCAGTCCAGGAAATTGTTTGGAATAATGAAATAAACAGAATGACACTACATGCATAAAATTAGTACAAACCCATGTAGTTTTCACAGCCACAGCAGAAAGATTTTTGAGCAAGCAGGCAGCCAGCAAATCCAAGCAATGGCAGCTTATCAGTGCTGTCTTCTTGCAAACACAATCATGTTTGTAATTGGTTGTATCTTTCCTATCTCCTGGTGGAACTTTGTTACAAAATCACTAACACTTTAGACAACCATCATATTGTGAAAGCAGGGGAAGAGAAATTATTTGCTTACTGAGGAATTATTTGCTTACTTTTGCTTAATATGTAAGTACTTTCTAGGGAGAAGAAATATCAGTTTTAACATTTTGTAGACTGAATAATATACAATATTTCTTCAAGAAATACATATAAACATATACAGGCATACACCTCACAGCACTTAATAAATGAAGAGGCTGAACTTCAAAAAAATGAAATCTGAACTTGAAGTTTTATACAATACAAACATTCATCTGCAACCATCTGGGAGGAATACCTAAGCTGTGATGGTGCAGAAAATAAAACCTCCGCATCTCCCAGTTATTACCAGTTTTACCTCTATGATTTTCATGCAGAAAAGATGGAACTGAATTATTTCAGTTTTTTCACAGCAGTATTTATAGGTAACCAAATGGTAAAATGTGCCTGTTTTGAACCGATGTCTTGTGACACCTTTCCATAATAAGTATGTAAATGGTTAAAGTTCTCTGCATTAGTAATGCAAGCTACCCGCAATTGCATTGTTGTTCTACATCACATGCAGATATATATATATATATAAGAATCAACTAAATTTGAAGCAAGACTATTTCTTCTGAGCCACAAATGCGATACCTTTTATTGCTAATAATCCAAATACTCTCAAATTACAAGCAGGTTAAGCTTTATTTAATACTTACAACTCACATTTTCAGGGAGCTTTTCTGAATGCATGATCAAATGTTTGCATCTGTGAGCAGTTCCCCAGACCATCTGACCTACCTGTGCAACCTAGCACTAGTTCTATCTGTTGACAATGAAAGTGACAGAAAAGTGTATTTTTAAAGATTATGTAAATGGAATTTATATGTGTTTGTTATAGATTCTCTTAACTATATGATTATATCTCAATTTCTTAAACATATTAATCAGCAGCTCAGTGGATATGATCAGGCGTAGCATCAGTTAAGTCAAAAGAGACACACTCACTTAGAAGCACATTTGATCTGAGCTACAGTAAATTGTTATTAACTGAAATTTTAAACATTTTGAGATAAAAATGCCTATTACTATATTTTAAGTCTCTACTGATCATGTAAATGTTATACCTATATACAGCTCCATTTTCTAATATCCCCAAAACTGAAAAACTAAGGCTTGTTTGGTGCTGCAGGTGCTTCTTAAGTGCAAGACCTCCCAACTAATGCTGGTTAATTCAAATTTCCAGAAGCACCATTTCAAATACTTTCAGAACTGAGCTGCCAGTGTTTTGTAGAGCATTGCACAACTTTTCAAGTATCCCAAGCAATGAGGTGTGGCATTTGGAACATTATGTGATATAAAAGAGGAGATACCATCTTACATCAAACTGGTGGCCCAGTTTTCTCCCTTGTGACAACAGCTAGCAGGAGATATGTAGATAGTTAGTATAAGATCCAGCACAAACATTAGAATGATCATAAGACTACTGCACATTTCCTGGCAGTCAAGAGTTAAGATCCTCTGTATCATCCCAGATATCATGTTCCATAGCGTGAAAGAACCTTCCCCAAGAACCTGCCTAAATTGTTTTGGGACCCAATAGTGTTTTTCCCTTCCAAAATATCCTGTGGCAGTGAGTTTCACTGCTTATTTATGTGCGACGTGGAGAAATGCCAAAGGCAAATAGCTAAATATCGTATAAATGTAACTATGTATTGTGTTTTTAAGCAAGAAAGATAGTCTAAAAATACAATGCTATTTCAGAATGCAGCTTTGGAAAGAATCTCAGTACTGTACTCTAATTTTTTCCTCTCACAGTTCTCAGTCCCTCTGTGTTAATGCTTAACTTATCTGCTCAAGCTGGCCCTATCAGCCAAAGTTGTGTTAAATCACTTTGTATGGAATGTAGGAGCATGGTTGGACAATAGCACAACATGTAGTGACTAAATCCATGTCCTCTAAGCCTGTTTATAAACAGAACACCAAGACTGAGAGTAGAAAACAGTTTATAGGTGACATAAGAAGGAAGGAAGTGTGGGGGACACTTATATCTCTAAACCTTATGATTCTCCCTGATCAAGGGAAAATGAGAATTGGCACCTAAACAGTGAACAATCACTGCAAGCCTAAGCAAAACTGGAACAGCTGTTTCTCTTCTATTTCTACTGGCAAAGCAGAATACTTCAGAGATGAGAGAAAAGGAAAGTTTTATGCAGAATAAAGAGGTTGGAGGTCTGTTTTTGTTCTCTTCACATTCACTTTTCTCAGGTATTTTCAAACAAATCTATAGAAAATAGTCCAACTACATGTTTCTGCTCAATCTGATCTGTCAGTGCTGAACTGCCTTCTCTATCAGTCAATCAGGCTTGTGAAATGGCAGTTTTATGCAGCTCCGTGAGCCTCTTTTTCTTTTATATTTTTTCTAAATTGGCAGGACAAGTTTCTCAATGCATTGCCAGCAGAGCTTTAAAGACAACTTGAGAACAGTACTTTCAGCAGTCTAAACTGCAGGTCACCATAAGAACACAAATGTTGCATTACAAGATACTATCAAAAATGACTGGAAAGTGCTCAATTACTCTCTCTCCTGAGCCTCCTTAACAGCCACTGAGCTATACTGAGCAGGCACATAGCAGACATCCCCAGATGCTGGTGTACACAGGGTAAAAAAAGCTCTCATTTTGTGCTGCTAAGCTGAAGAGGACAAAAATGAACTAGCAATTTAGTTCAGTATTCCACAGGATATTTCAAGTTTTTTCCAAAGTGAAAAATAGCCAACACTTTATGCAGGACAACATTTGGTCAGGAGTGAGGGAAGTGCTACTGTTATTTCCACAGTTAAGCTGAAAGTCATGTAAAGATTAAATTCTTGTGCTAGTTCACTAATTATTTCTGTTAGGTTAGGTAAGGCACACACTTTCCATGAAAAACTGAGTATTTTTAAATTAGTGATCTGCATGTAAGGAAGAATGCCTATGACAGACTGCAGTATTGGTGCTGGGATGATTGCAGAGGACTTTACTGCAATAAACAGGATTAAAAAGGGGAAAAGCATTGCTGGAAAAGCCTAGCTTTCTTGACTATCATGCACATACATACTTCTCAAAACAGAATATCAGCAACTGTTGCTCAAAAGGGTCTGTAATATAAGAAAAACTGTCAAATATTTTTAAGCTCCTGCATTACATGCAGAGCCTGTAGGATGACAAAATGATAATCATGGTGACAGCTCTCAAATCTGTAAATTAAAGAAATTGCAAACACCCAAACAACACAGGTTTGAGCTTCAGTAAGGTATACTTCCTGTTTGGCAAGGGCTTCGCTTTATTTTTACTTAAGAAATCCTATTATACCTCATTACCAAATATACTTAAAAAACCTCTGCTTCTGAAACTTTTTTATTTTCAACAAATACTGTGAGGAACTTCAGCTGTGTTCAAAAATTCTTTTACACTCACAAAAAAAATACCATCTGTGTCTCCTGAAAGGGAAGAAAGGCAGAACTTGGATATCAGCTTGGTAAAACAACTGTAGCAATGTTTTATTCTTGGCAAATCAAGTGCATTGAATTTATCATAAGAGGTCATGAATTGCATTACTGAAGGTCATATGCATACCTAAAAATCATAACAATTTTGTGTAGCTGTAATTTTGAAGGGAAGGTCTCTACATATTAGAAGCACCTAGATTCTTGAGAGTCAAGGTTTTCAAAAGGCTCAGCTGTGAAATAAAATTGTATTAGGCTATGATTAAAATATTTTAGATGACTTATTAAATCACCTAAAATGACTGCCTAATGGAACATTATGTAACAACATGAAAGATGCCTTTTAGTTAAAAAAAAATATCTAATCCAATAGAATTGACAACTGAGGGAGAAATAGCTGGAAGACTACCTAAATGGAAGTGTTCTCTAGTTTGGACAAGTAATTCTGATAATGCAGTAATGGGGAAAAGGCTCTAATAAAATATATTGATGTAGCTAGGAACAAGTTTTCTTGAAAGGAGATCAGCAAGTGTAAATGCATCTGAGATGCCAAGATAATTTGTCCTGACTGAATAGCTACATGGGAAATACCAGATGTGGGAAAAACATCTGAAGAATGAAGCAATAAATTTTGACAAGGTCACACTTGGACTGCTAGAATGACCATTGCACTGTTTCACTCAGAGTTTGAACCTAGAGCAAGTAACTGCTGGAGTGCACATGGACCCTCCAAGTGCTAGAGGCAGAGCAGGCACAGAATTAGTAAACCTAGCAACCCAATGTTGAACAAACCTTACCTGCACCAAAATAGAAAACACAATCAATCATACAATGGCAATGAGTGTCCCTCATACAGACAGTTACTTTTACAGCATTTCTGACCACCAATCAATGCAAGATTCCTGCTGGGAAAGTCTTAAGGACATTATAGGCACACACAAAGGTAAAGGAAAGGCTTTTTCATTAAGGGGTAGATGTGGGGAGGAAACAGCACAAGGGTCATTGTGATGCAGCCAAAACCAAAGGTCACTGAAAAACATCTGATTTATTTTCCTGATAAAAGAAAAACTTAAAAATAAAACTGAAAAATACAGTGAAAATATAGTGCTGAAATTACCTGTTTATCACCTGACATGAAGTCATCCACTTCCAAAGTTTTACTATTATAAAGCCTTCCAGAGAGCAGTACACTGAACTTGCACCACCGCTTCAGCTCACAGGCCTGACAAGACATATTCTGTGCATTTTGCAAGCTTATGCGAACATCTGGGTAACAATCCACACGCTCCTGAAAAACAGATTCCAAATAACATTAAAGAACCACTGTAAACTGAACGATGCTTCTAACAGGCTACTGAGTGCTCTGTACTCAAACAAAACTAGTCCAATAGAAATGAAACAAAATTTTATTATTACAGTGATCATTAAATCATCACACCCATGACATTAATTCTCTTCTAGTAACATACATACAAAAACTAATTGCTCTGTACTGACGTATTTTTTGTAGTAGTAGAAAGTTCATGATTAACATACTGTTTACCTTTTAGTGGGAGGAGGAAAAAAATCTTATTAGAACATTTAGCAAGTGACAAAAAAATCCTCAAATGTCAACTGCTGAAGTTAGCAGGAGATACATTCAGGTAGCTGAGAACAGATTCTGTTCTGCTACCTGAATGTTTGTCTGGTTATCAACATGTAAAATATTTTTGATATTTATATAAGCACCAAAACAAATTATTTAAGAACAATACTTGCTATTAAAAAGGAAATATAATTATAGTGATTGGTGCACCTTTACAGAGAATTTCAGCATTTAGAGTAGAATCTAGATACCTTGTATCGATCCTTCCAGCGACTTCTACAGATCAAGTTCTCCAGGCGAGGCTGAATGAAGCGGTCATCCAAATAATGCAGTGAGAGCAGCATCTCCTGTGCATACTTCTTCTGTCTTGTTCCATCTGTTCAGTGAGAATCATCACTAATATGCTGACCACCCTACGTTGTACAAGCTCTTTAGATAAAATTTTCACAGACATTATGCTTCTGCATACTAAGAATTATGAATGATTTTACTAAACTGTTATTGAATACATTTGCTACTGTTACCCATAAAAGTGATCCATGCAATCCATGCATCTTGCTAAAAGGATATATTTTATTATTTAAAAGGGGTACAAGCACAAATTCTACCAAAATCATGCCAAAAGTTCTCATCCCAAATGGAGATCCATTCACTCAATCCTATTTAAAACAACAGAAAAGGAGGAAGCATGTGGGGGAATGTCATGCTTTTCAACCAACCTGTTTAATTTGTTTGAAATGTTATAGGAAAGAGGTTGGAATCCACAAACACAAACTGCTTTGAGTTACTTCTAGGCAGAAATTTTGACAACTCTCTTTGTCACTTTTAAAGATCACAGAGAAACTGATCTTTACTTTACTAGCCCAGTCAGATGCCTTGAGTTAGGCTAAGTACTTCCAAATACTCAAGCAAAATAAACAAAAAAGCATGAGGATGAGTAAAACTACCACTATTAACTGTTTCCCAAATACATGCTGGGCTCCAGGAATTAAACAGGACTTCCCTAGATGTAGGCCAATGCACACTGCCCTGGAACCTCAGTGTGTACAGACACAAAACTTAATTCAGCTACCCTCCCATGCCTTCTAGCAAAGCTGTTATCCAAAAAAAAGGCAGACCTGAGAAGGGCCACTGGTTACCCAGCTCTCTATATAAATGTAGTTAATTATCATTATAGCCACCATAATTGCAATTAACTGTTTTTCCATATTCACTTACACACACATTTGCAGGATGAGCTTGAAGAGGCTGTGCTAGACCCCAAAACAAAATCCCTCCCAATAAAAAGCAAGTGTGAACTCCAATACTATAGTACTGGAGTCATAGCTGCTCTTGAGTCAAAACTAATGAAAAGATTCACTTCCATTAACTCAGAACAATCCATTCTATGTTACAAAAATACATTTTGCAATGCTAGGCTATGTTCATACAATGTTCATGTACAACCTCCAGCTTACCTGGAGAGCTCATTTACTTCCAGCAACTTGGCAGTAAATTGTTACATTTTATTGAGCAGATATCATTTGAAATAGAAAGAAGCTATTACAACATTAATCTGGCAGTGCTTACTTATTACTTTTCAAAGGCCTGTTTTTACTTGTTGAAACAAAACAAACCAAACACCTGAAAGAACTAGCAGTGGTAGATGAAAGACATTTTTTAGCTCCAAGAGTATACAGCCTTTATTCTGAGGTCCATGGTGTACTTCAGTTTCTCCATTCCCTCTAAATTCTTGATGACACCAAAACCTCCACTCTTGGCATTTCACTAATTCCGTCCATAATCTGACACTGAGAGTCCTCTCCTTAATCCCATCTTTACAGGGTTTATAAAACTATGTATGAGGTGTTATTCAGCCCCACTAGGCCAAATGCCAAGAAGCACTTCCTCAGAAAGAATAAGACAAGTACTGACTGCAGCTGAAGCTTCTTTATCTGATGTGTTAAAAAAAGGGGGAAAAAATTATATAGAGCCATCTCCATAACTAAAAGCCTTTATAATCTATCAAATTCCTAAAAAAAAAGCTGTGAAGTACAAGAGATTTTGACAAACCAGCTGACCTTGCAATGTTTTCATTGAGGTATCTGCTTTGAAACTAATTTGGTTTTCATGCTGGAAAGGCTACTACTGATTAGGAACACAGAAACACATTCCTACATCTCAAGAAGGCATTTCAAGCCTTCTGTGCCCAACAATTAAGTCTACACATTTTTCCAAGATTACGGTATCATTTTCAGATAGAGTCCCCTCTGCTCTCCCCCACCAAAGTTATATAGCAGGAAAATCACAGATTTCAGGACCCTCAGTTCTATTATCAGGAAAAACACCCTTCCCTAGAACAAATGGCTTTGTATAACTTCAAATGCATTAATATATTATTTAAAGAAGTTTACTTACCATACAATGAGCTCAGAAAAGTGTCATCAATTGCATTTATGAGGAAAGCTTTTACTATTCTTTTGAAGTGTACATAATGATCACAGCGAGATACTGGGAAGAAAGCAATACAACCAAAATTTACCAAAAGGAAAAAAAACGAGTCATGTTAGAAGTCCTGTAAGAAGAATTCTTCTCCAGTATTGTAAGTTTATAGTTTTAAAGTTATTTAAATATAAATTTAGAAAGAATTTCAATGCACAACATACACATCCACAGGATTTTGCCTTAAAATTGTGCTTCTTATCCCACTGTTCCTACAGAATTTTAGCATTCTAAAGTCACATGCGCTTCCAGCAAGAAGAGTCCACAGTAAGACCTACAAACACTAAGAAAAGTGCAGAATTTGTTCTACAAATAGCAGAAAATAATATAAATCAGAGAAGACCAAGCTTATGTTGTGGTCATGGGTTTTTTTGCTTGCGCTTTGTTTGTTGTGTTATTTTTTTCTTTCAAATACAATTCTGCTGAGGTCTTCACTGGGGAAGAAATACAACAAATGCTTGTAACAACTACAACTATCATTGACTGTCCAGTCACTACAAACCTACTTCTGAACAACAAAATATGGAAGAAAATAACTTGCATAAGGTTTTTCTTCAAATCTCTCTGCTCCATCCAGAAACTGGTTTTCATAAAGGAACAACTTGAAGAGTTTTCTTGCTCTGTGTAATTCAGCAGAGATTGGCCAGTGAAGTCAGAAACCCCACTAGAGCTCTGGTCCCAAGTCTTGCCACCACAGAATAAAAATACATAAAAAACCCCAAAGCAAAACAGAAAAACAACAACAACAAAAAAAATCCCAAGCCTCAAACCTGTAGCAAGAACAGCATTTGGACAGATTAACATAGCTGCTGTTAGCATAAACCACAAGATTGTAGGATGAAGGATGATGCCTTCAGGTCTCCACAGGAATTAATGCATCATAGGCAGTCTACTTCATCCTAAATCAGACCAACTGAAAAAAAATTGTGCAATAAGGTTTCACTTTCTTCCTTCCAACTTATACCCTCTCTTTAATTAAATATTTAAAGACTGCAAAAGTTTACTGTGGAAATCAGAATACTTTCATAATAAATTGAAAGCTTTCAGGTATCTGCTTTTAAATATCCTATCCTATTCTTTAGCATTTGTATTTAGCCCATTAATTTTTATTACAGTACTATGAGCTAGTTATACATGAAAAATTATCACTAATTTTGATCTTACACTGTGGGATGTAGTGTGCCAGCAGCTCACTGTTTGATGGATTTGGTTGCTTTTGATGTGGCTGATTTTCATTCTTCACATGCTCTGTGTTGTCAATGTCATCACCATCATCGTTTTCCTCTTCCTCTACTATAAAATCTTTCATGCTGTCACCATCAGTTTCACTGCCTTCTGATGGTGTGAGGGGCAACTGACAGAATGGTTCCTCTTCTATTGCTTCACCATTAGAATCCTAATTAAATTTTAAAAAGTACTTCAAACACAAGAATTTTCAGTATTTGCACAGACAAAATGCTACATACACCAGCTAAGATTTATGACCATCTAAAACCACCATATTTTCAATTAACAAAAAAGCATACATTTCCAAAAAGTACATAATTCTGTATTAGACAACAAGTACTTTCAGCTTTAAATTAGCCATTTCCATGTACCTCTCTTCAGTCCACTTCTAGGAATTAAGCTAACAGACCTATAAGACTGACTCTAAGACTCTAATACTTCAGCAAGTATTCTGCTTCCTGATAAAAAGAACTTGATAGATTTTCAGCAGTCAATAGTTATTCAGTTAATGTGACTGTTAAAATATTACAGAATTACTCATTTGTCATGCATTCAAACACAAAAAAATCCAACTGATTTGTACCTCTTTACCCTTTCCTGAGATTTTTTTTTTTTTGGGGGGGGGGATTTCCTCCAATTAAATTTCAAAGATAAAACCCTGACCTCACAACTTGCACTGCTGCAGGACCTCCGCGCTGTGCTTTGTCTTACAAGCTCCTTCAATTTTGCGAGCACTTTCTGTTTCCTGCTAGCAGAAGCATTCTCTGTAGGGCATGTTTTATCAGGCTGCTGCTCGCAGCTCTCATCGTCATCCATTATACAGCGGCGTTTGGAAGAAACCTTTCTAACAAGTATGTCACTGCCCTCGCTTCCATCGCTGTCGTACATGACAGAGGCGCTCAGCCTCTTGCGCTTCCCAGGCACAACGCACTCATCGTCACCATCTTCTGCTACCTCCCCGCTAGGGTCTTTCTCCTGCCGATCCGAAGGGCTGCGCTCCACAGCCGCCGGATCTTTCTCATCGATTTCGCTTTCGGATGAGGCAGACTCCTCCTCCTCCTCAGAGGCGGCTGAGGATTCGTCATTGCTGTCCGGCAGAATGAGCGCCCTTCTAGTGCGTCTCCAATCCACTCGGGATCTGGGTGATGCCACTTCTTTCTTATTTCTTGTTTCGTACCTTTTGACAGCTGTTTTTACCCCCATCGGAAAGCTGTAGCAACACACCTAAATATAAACCGGCAGAACAAAGCACTTGTTACACTGTGCTACTCAGAGGGGAGAAAATAAAAAAAAGGAGTACATTTTGCTCCGCATGCTCATGACTTAGCAGCACCATTAAGAGACTCACTCGTAAGAGACTCACTCACCGGCACCGAACAGCACTCAGCGCGCACAGCAACTTCTCCAGAGGCTGCACCTCGCTCAGGACGCGCAGAAGCGCCCGGCTCGGCGTGGCTGCACAGAGGAAGGATTCGGGTCTGGGGCGCCGGTCCCGCTCCTAGGGCCGGCTCCGGCTCCAGCTCCCGCTCCGGGGCCGTTCGGGGCCGCTCCCGAGCCTCGGGACAACCCGGCTCGCGCGCCGCCGTTTCCCGCCGCGCGCCGCCTCAGCCGCCCAGCGCGGGCTCCCGCCCCCTCCACCGCTTCGCGCATCGCGATTGGCCGCCGCGCCTGTCACTCATCCCGCCGCGATGTTTACGGAAGTGCGGTCACGCCGCGGAGGGGGTCGGGAGGAGGGTTTGTTTGCGGTGGCGCGCAGTGGCTGGTGACGTAGAGGTGGCGAGTTCGAGTCCGGCCTCTGCGCCCTCCCCGTGCCTCACCCGGAGGCTTCAGGCATTGCTGTCGTGTGGTGGCACGGTCTGTGCCCGTCCTCGGTGCATCCCCGAGAAAAGTCTGCGTGGGCGTGTGGGGTACGGCAGCTCCGCAGCAGGGCTGGCAGGGGCCGGCCTGGTCTGAGGCGCTCCCCACCCCAGGAGCTTCCCTCAGCAGCCCTGGGAGCAAGCCCGGTGGGTTTGTGAGGGGCGCCTGAGGGAGCTGGGGGTGTTTGCCCTGGAGAAAAATGGGCTCGGGATGGCAATCCATGCATCTTGGCCTTATCGTTCTCTACCACTGCCTGAAAGGAGGGCATAGCAAGGATGGGACAAGAGGAAATGGCCTCAAATTGCGCCAGGGTAGGTTTAGGTCATACATTAGGATAAAATTCTTCTCTGAAAGGATGGCCAACCATTGGAACAGGCTGCCCAGGGAAGTGGTGGACTCACCATCTCTGGAAATGTTCAAAAGACATGTGGATACAGCACTTGAGGGCAGGTTTTAATGGTGAACATGGTGGTAGTGCTAGGCCGGTGGTCAGGCTTGATTATCCTAAGGGTCTTTTCCAGCCTTAATGATTCTATGGCTCTGTGAATAATGAGCTTCTGCTGGTTTTCTGCATAAAGCATCTTTGAATAGTGTGGTAAATAGGAATGATTCGTGCTGATAAAAATTGAAACAGTAATCAATATTGATACAGTAATTAATATTTGGGAATAATAAAATAAGTTAAAAGTTGTAATGCCAAAGAAGAGAGGGAAAGGAGGGGCTCTACCCCCCCCTCCCCCTTCCCAGCAGATGTTCTCAAGGACCACAGGAAAGAAGCTGAAGATACAGTTGCTAAAAATGAACAAGAACCCGGTTGGGTCCCAGAAAATGCTAATTATAAGGGATTTATTGCCTTGATATGTAGATGCAGTGATATGTTAGTCTTGGCTTACATTGTACTGGCTTGGTGCACATGTGTAACACAAAGGTCAATTAAAGGACAAAGAGGAAGAGGAGAGGTCTTCATCCAAAACGACCCCCAAAGACTTGTGCGACCACCAAACCGAGTGGTGGCGCATGCGTGATAAGGGTGGTAGTGAGGGTGGAGATAGAGATATGACGAACCGAAAATGGGAGGAGATGGCATTGACACATGGCATATAAGGGGTGATTTTCACTTGGCAAGCTTGTACGTGAGGTGGCAAGGGTCCCAGAACTCTGCCCTCCGTATCCCGCGGTTATCGTTTGCTTATGCGCTATTATTGGAACCAAATTATCCCTTATTTTAACCAAATTATATTGTATCCAATTTTAAATTTTTTTTTAATTTTTACTATTCAATTAAAATGTCTACTACTTTTAATATTGTTTGGGGTTTTTTATGATGGGATAATTGGGCAAACATAACAATAGGATGCTGGATTCTGTTCACAGCTAATAAGCTTAGAAATGCATTTTAATAACAAGATTCATGCCTTAAATTTTCTCTGCTGTGCTTGGTCTGTGGCAGAAAACTGCTGTTACCTTGGAACTCATTCTGCTGATATACTTTGGTACTCTTTTAACAAGATCTTGTAATTGCTTCCATATATTTATTTAAAAATAGCTGCTAACAAAACCATAAGGAGAGAAAATCCTAGAAAGGAAAGACAGTTATTTCTCATCTTACTTACATAATGAATTTGATATGGTGAAAGGTGTGTTGAATTCCCACCAAAATGTTTATATTGAAAGGATTATAATGGTTATAATTCAAGGATTATATTGCATTAGGGGATTTATAGCCCTGGGCTGACATTTCTTTTAATTGCTTTATATGTAAAGCCAGTACGTGGATTTTCACATAAATATACGGATCAGAGTTTACCCATGATTTATTATTTTTTCCAAAGTGTGGTGAAAGTCAGCATTTTAGAGCACTGTTCTGTCCCTCGTCTCCATCATATTTCTTGCTTCCAACGTCGCCACCTTGTGACAAAAGGCATAAAGGAATCCTGGTGGTTTTATTCCTGTAGTACAGCAGACGGAAATAATGTAATTACAATGAAAATGTTGTATGTAACTAAAGAAAATATCTAGTAAATACGGGTTTTTTTTCTACTTCAATGACATGAAGAGTTTCACTTATGAATACAGACATCTGAAGGACAGCAAGAAGTTTTTACTATTCACAATACTTATATGCTGATGATTTTTCAGGTGAGCCCCAGTCCCAGGGGAGTTGACAGCATGGAGTCATGTGAGACCTTAGATTTTAGTAGCAAAATTCAGTCGAAAGACAGAACTTTTCCATACAGACAAATTTTTATCAAAACTCCTAAGTATGTTTATATGTTCTTTACACATTAAGCAAACTCATTTGTCTCATAGAAAATAAATGCAGTTGATTTTCTTGTGCACCACAGTATTTTTCCTGACTTTGTGCAGTTACTATGCCATGTGATGGCAGAAGCATCTCTCCAGTACAGAGTTTTATATTTTACCAGGGTATTCCAGTCCCCTATGATTTTAGATAATAGAGAAATTATTATATTGAAACCTTTATTTTAAGTGGCAGGCCCAGTAACCCCTTCTGTTGTTGGCTGCTTTAGCCACTGAGTATTTGCTCTGCTGCTTCCCAGCTGTTAGCTGTCTGGCTGTTGCTGTGCTCACATTGCAGTTTCTGTGGAGCTTCAGCTCTTCTGGAGTTCAGGGATGTCCAGGGTTATATGAACATTGCTCCCACAAAGCAGACCCTTCCTGCTTGGGGTATTCTCCTTTCCCTAAGGTAAGCAACGGGAAGCTCAGAGCCCGCAGTTCCCAGGAGTGCAGCATTTGCAAACACCCCATGACTCCCAGGCATACTGAGCATTAGGCTGGCTCGTGCCCAACTGGAAAAAAGAAAAAAAACCAAAACAAATAAAACATCTTAAAAAGCTCTTTTTGACTTATGAAGAGGCTCAGTCTGGCTGGGACTGGCACAGGCACCAAAGTTGCTCTTGCTCTCTGACAGATTGCAATAGCTCAACAGCGTGTTGAAGCAGAAGTGGCAAACCACCTCTGAGTTTGACAAGGGGTTTAAGCAATGGCACCCATGACACTGAGCTTTTTTAATGCTTTTGAACTAAATTTTCAGCATTGCAGTTCCTTAGAAGGGATTTTTTTTCTGGTCACCAGCTTACATCACCAGGGACTCCCTGTCCCTTCACCAAATGCACTGTTCAGTCCATTTATGTAATGCATTAAATAGAGACATAAATTAGCCAGACAATAACAGTTTCATCACCAGAAAGAGCTGCTAGCACCCATAGGGAGGTCCCCAAGTAAAACTATACCTGAAGTGTAGAAATTGAATGTAAGGTTGTCTTCTTTTCATTTCTTAAATTCTTTCTCTCTTTCTTGCACTCAACCTCCTGCAGAGTACATGAAGAGCATATTACAGGGGACTGACTATCTTGCATTTCTCTGCCTCCTATTTCTTGTCAATGGAAGATCATCTCCCGAATTTTAGGGAGAATCCCTGTAAATGGTAAGCCTCCCAAAAGCCCTTTTAGATGCTGGCTGACTTTGACCTGATTCTTGTCATTTTTTGTTATCACTCTGTAGTCAGTAGCAACAAAGAAATTGACTTTAATAATTACAAATTTTAAGTGAAAACATTTTAAAATTCCATTTTCAATGCCTATTTTCAAGAACATACATCTCCATTTAGAACAAGTATATTTCCAAAAAAAGTTTTACAATTTTTCTGGAGCACAGTTTTCATAGTAATTCTAAAGCACCCTCATCACTCCTGCTTTTGTGAATAGTACAACTTTTCTCAGAGACTGGAATTCATTTCTGCACAGAAGCCTTTTTAAGGAATTAAATGGGGTTTATGAGATCCTTAATCCTGATTCTGGCTCTTTGTGTGGTGTTGAATTTCATAGAAAGAGTGAATTTCAGACAAAAGAGACCAACAGAGTTAACATTTAATCTCTTTTTGAAACACTGAGAACTTTCTGGTCTTGTGAGATTCTGAAATGATGTTTCATACACAAAAGTTTTCTTGTAGGCTGGATCATGATTACTAGATGACTTGCATGATGCGGTCAGCAGTGCCTTTGGGAACTCTCATCCCTGCTATATAAAAGACCTAATAGTTGATAAAATGTGTAGTTTACCTTGCCCTTTGTATATGTAAGGTAAAATCTTTTATCTTCAGTGCCTGAAGTACATACAGTCTAATGGTAGGAGGGTACAAGGCTCCATGTAGTTAAGGTTTGTTATTACTATTTGAAGATCACCTCTCTTTTGATCAGTTTCACTCTAGTGAAACTCAGTTTATTCTATTTTCACTGCCTCAAGATGTCAGAAATATCTTGGTATTTCAGAGTCACATGAGAGTATGAATTACATCCTTCTGTGTTGAAGAAAGAGACTGGGGAATAAATAGGATTTGATGTTTATCTGGTGCTGATATAAGGGTGAGGCATTCCTACAAAATCCTGGAGAGATTGTGTGAAAGATCTCAACATTTAGATAATGCTGGCTATAACTCAATCACGTTGATGTGCTGAATTTTGAGCAAGAGCAAACCAAGGCATATCTTACTTGCATCCCCAAGAACTATGTAATGAAGCTCAGCAGCTTTGTACATTGAGGGGAGGGGTATTTCATCCTACTTTCAGAGTTTTTCGCCTTCATTTTAATATTTCCTGGAGAGTTTACTTTGACTTTTGTGTGGCTTCTTTTCTCTTGGTCGCAAGTCAAACACAAACTCTTGGCAGCATTTCTCTAGCTGGAGTAGGGTCTTTTGCCAGGAGGAAGGAATGTGA